GACACACGCACACTCACACAGGCACACACTCACACACACTCAGGCACTGACACACTCACACAGGCACCGACACATACACAAGGCACTGACACACGCACTGACATTCTGACAGACACACACTTACACACTTACATTGACACACTCACGCAGACACACCCACACTGACCGACACACACATCCTGACTCACAAAGACACTGACACACACTCACACAGGCCGTTGACACACACACACACACTGATACAGGGACACAGGTACTGACACACACAGACACACTGACACACACGCATTCACACATCCTGACACACAGACACACACACAGTGACACACGCTTACATCGACACACTCACACTGACAGACCCACTGACTGAGAGACACGCACTCACACATTCTGACGCACACTGACAGACACACGCAGTGACACACTCTCGCACTGACAGACACCGACACACACACTGACACTCTCACACACTCACAGACACACATGCACTGACAGACTCCACCCACACACTCCTCACAGACACACACTGACACGCGCAGTGGCAGGCCCCACATACTGACGCACACTGACTGGCGGCTCCCGCCTGCTCATCAGCCCAGGACAGGTGAGCCGAGGGCCAGCGGCCCTGCCACCTGGGGGAACGGCGGCTTCTGCTCCTGCCTCTCTGCCTCTGCCCTGGGGAGGGACCTCCCCTTCCTGCCCGAAGACCTGGAAGGTGGCATTAGGTGGTGCCAGCCTCCAGGCCCCACCCCAGTGCAACTCAGGTGAGATCTGACCTCTCAGGAGGGCCTCACCGTCCTCACCTGGATGTGGGACACTGGGGTGTCCCTCAGCGGGCTGGAGGTGCAACCCACGTGCTAGCGGCCCCGGGAGGAGGCTGAGCTGTGGGACCTGGGCGCATGTGTTGCAGACTACAGCATCTCGGCGGCCGCCATCACCATCTTCAGCCTGGTCTTCATGATCCTGGGAACCATCTGCGCGCTCCTATCCTTCAGGAAGAAGCGGGATTACCTGCTGCGGCCGGCGGCCATGTTCTACGCCTTTGCAGGTAGTAGGGGGCTTCTGCCCGCTGCCGGGGTTGGGGCGGGGGGCGGAGGGTGGAGCTGCCCCCCATCCTCAGGCCTACCTCCAGGTTTGGATTTAGGGTCCGGGGAATTTCCCAGGCTCCACAGGAGCCACAGACTCAGGACCTCCAAGCGAAGGTGCGCTGGGGGCGGGAGGTGTGGGCAGTTTGCCCATTTCTCGCAGTCTCGGTCCTCGAGGCGCGGAGGGCAATGCCAATGGCGAACGGATTAAATGTGAACAATTACTGACAAAAGAAGGAAACGCTCGCCCGATGGAGAAGCAGAAACAGGCGGAGGGGTCACCTGCGCAGGTTCCCACGCGGAACCCCGCCTCCAGGACCCCCCACCAGGCTGGGTCCCCAGCGCTCCGAGGGCGGAGCCCCGGCAGACACAGGTGGGGCGGCGCCCCGTCCCTGACGCCCCCGCCCCCAGGTCTCTGCGTCTTCGTCTCGGTGGAGGTGATGCGGCAGTCGGTGACGCGCATGATCGCCAGCGAGGACACCGTGTGGATGGAGCACTACTACGCCTGGTCCTTCGCGTGCGCCTGCGCCGCCTTCGTCCTGCTCTTCCTGGGTGGCCTGGTGCTTCTGCTCTGCTCCCTGCCCCGACTGCCCCGGAACCCCTGGGAGTCCTGCATGGACGCGGAGCATGAGCACTAGGCCTGCTGCGCGCAGCCACCGCCCCTCGGGCTTGCCCCGCCCTGCCGGAACGTTCTCGAGAGGACCCGGGACTTGTCCATCTGTGACCGTCCCACCTGCCCCGCGCGGGGCAGAGCGATGCGTCCCCTGAGACGCACGTCCAGGCGGTGACAGGCTCCCTGGCGCTCGGGCAGGGGCACGTGGCAGGCCCACCTGTCCGCGGTGGAGGGGCCGGAAGGTGCGCAGGTGGGGGGTTGGCCCTGCCGCCTGCCGACACTGGGCGCTGTCGCCTCGCGCACCCCGGACGCCCCCCACCCGCGGCAGTTGCCCTGGCTAAGCACGCTCCCAGCTGTCCTGCTGGCTCAGCCCTGTGCTCACTCAGCGCAGTGTAGACGCCCCTCCCCGCAATGGACACCCCTCCTCGGCTTCCAGGAGGCCGAGGAGCTTCCTTAGCTGGGTAGAGTGTCACTGAGGTTTGAAATAAAAGTCTTGAAAAACGAGATTTGCCTTGCACGGTGCACAGAAATGTCTACAACTCCTGACAGGAGGGTCGGGGGGACAAAGGAAAAAACCAGCGGCTGCAGAGTGTGCGGACTTCAGGCAGGGGGGTCCTGTTTCCCAAGGACACCTAGAGGCTCGGGTTTCCGCTTGTGCCTCTGGGCTGGAGGAACTTCTCTGGGGGAAACCAGACACCCTCTGTTACAAATAAGGAGGGGTTATTTCCAGAGTCCTGGGCGCCCCAGCGGCATCCACACAGCGCGGCCAGCTCTCCAGACGCTGGAATTGGTGGCGGAGCACTGGACTCCAGGGTGGCCTGAGGGCATGGCCGCCACCGGGCTGCACCCCAAACCCCTTGCCCCACTGCCAGTCCTCAGAGGTGGGAAATCAGGTGGAACTGGCAGAAGGGCCAGGCCCCTGGACTTGAACCCGCCGGGAGGACCTGTGAGAGATCAGATCGTGTTTCCAGAACAGGGGGCCAACTGTGGCCTCCACGGGTCAGACCTGGCTGCCGGCTGCTGGACAGCCCCAAGCTAGGAACAGCGCTGACCGTTCTCGTTTTCTTTATCCAAAGAATGACATTTCGTGACTTCTGAAAATTACATGAACTCAAACTCCGGTGTCCACTAGTAATGTTTTATGGGGGCATCAGAGATCAGTGGAGGGGTGAAGTGGCCAGGGCAGGGTCCCTGCAGCCGCAGGGATGCGTCCACTGGGCAGAGGTGACTGGGCACTTTAAAGAGGGGATGAGGCAAGAGGAGAGGTGAGTCGTGGAGTCAGAGAAGTGAAAGGTGCCACAAAGCAGGGAGGTGGGGTGGGTCCCTGCAAAACCAGCTGGGAGCTAAGGGCCCCAGCACGGTGGAGTCAGGCCTGGGACACAGCGCCCCCTTCAGGTGCTGGCCGCAGTAGACGCTCTTGCTGGGGCAGCAGGGAGCTTCCCCACCGGTGCTGCCCAGGGCTAGAATGGTCCTGCTAGGTGTGTGGGCTTGAGCTGTGAGAAATTACAGGAGTGCCTGCTCAGTCTGTATAGGCCAGTTGTGGCCTGGTCCAGAAAGAGGCCCAGAGGAGACAGGCTGGCGTCGGCTGGAGGAGCAAACCTCCATCACAGCCTCACCTGCCCTCTCTGCCTGCTTTCCTGCTCCAGCCACAGACGCAGCAGCTCCAGCCACAGAGCCCCTCAGGCCTGCACAGTCGAAGCTATTTTCTCCCTGGCTCTTTATGGACAGCCGCTGCCAACCTCTGTTCTCGAGTCACAGATGCTCACTAGCTGGCTCGCTGAGCCCTGGCTGTTTCCACCTGTAAGGTGAGGACGAAGCGGCTTGTCACACTGCTTAGCACAATCTAAGAGGAAGGAGCCTGGGCTGGGGCAGCTGGCCAGTGGCCATGGTGGCGCTTGCAGAGGCCGTGGCCATGGTTCACCCCCACGGGGAGGTGGACCCCGCAGAGAAAGCCACCACGGTTACTGCCCTTCCGAGGTTGGTGTGCTGTTCTCTTAGGTTTTGCTCCTGACCAGAATTTGGGCCCTTGGAAGCTGCTGGAGACGCCTCTGTCCTGCCCACAGAGCGTGACCCAGCGAGGACGCAGGTCCATCTGGACTCAGGACCCCAGCGTCTGGGCTCTGGACCTGGCCGGGGAAGTCAACCTTGGGGTGGCACCTGAGCTGGAAACGGCTGCCCACCCCAGCCTGCCGGGGCGATGGGCGTCAATTTGTGCTGCGTCTCCGGCTGCAGGCGGCCAACCCGTGTTTTGAAGCGCAAATGAGGTTAATAAAAACGGGGTACAAAAAAAAACCAGGGTACAGTTTACTGAGAAATGTGCGAGAGGCGGTAGGTGCCAGAGCTCGATCCTCTCTGTCTAACGGGAACAAAAATGAGAGAAAGGAGCCGCGTGGCCAAGCCTGGGCCTCCGGAGAGAGGCAGCCAGGGAGCCCGGCCTTCAGCCCGAGTCTGCAGCCTCCTCCCTCCCTGGCCGCGGGGGGTGTGTCGGCCTCTGCCGCCCCCACCCAGCCTACTTCTCCCTGCCCCTCAAGAGACGGCCCCATCCGTCCGTTCTCCCAACACCTGCCCTCGCTGCTTTCCGCCTGGCCGTGCCTGAGTTCCCGCTTCTTAGACGACCCCGAAACGCCCCTCCTCCTGCTCCCCCGAGGCCTGGCTCCGCACCCTGCCTTGCCACCTGCGCCCCAGCACTGGCCGCCCCAGAGAGCGCAGTTCTGCAGCCGCCCCCCCGCCCCTCAGAGCTGCCACCCACGTAGCAGATCCGTACCCCAGCCCCTCGGGGTTCCCACTGCGCTGCACACAGCACCCCTGCTCAGCGGCTAGAGGTCGGGTGCGTTCACCCCCTTCCATTCGGGACACCAGGAGGCTGAGGTGGGCCTGACGTGGCCAAAACCGAGGTGTGCACACAGGCCTGGGGGCTTCGGGGAGGCTCCCTCTCCTCACAGGCTCCAGCTTCCCGAGACACCCCCTCTCCTTGTGCACGGCCAGTCTCGTCCTCACACCCACAGGGCCTCTTATAAGAGGTGACTGGGCCCATCCAGCAGACGAAGATGACCTCCCCATCGCAAGGCCCTTGACTTCATCACCCCGCAAGGTCCTTTCTTGAATCTAATTCGCAGGCCCTGGGTTAGGGTGTGGACACACCGGCGGGCTCTGGGGACTTAGGAGTGGACGTCCCTGGGGGAATGTGGTCCGTCTACCCCACCGAGGAGCGGCACGTGCCAGAGAGGACGCCGAGGGACAGGCTGACTGCTGTCCTTTCTGGAACATGGAGCACGGCGCAGAGATTCCCAAACAAAGCAGAAGTGTCGTGAGCCGTGCGGTTCCTCACGGGACAGAGAGCCGCGTGGTCACCCCCTTCTCCACCCGCTGAAGTCTCCTCGTGTTACAGGCCCCGGCTCAGACATCAGCGGGGGACCTGGGTTCCAAGCCCTCGGGCAGCAGCCGAGATCCCCCTTCTTGGCTTTGACACTGTGCTCGCGCTCCGGGACTTTCCGTCTGCCACGCGGGCCGGAGTACCTGCACCCTCGTTGGATTACACACTCCTTGAAGAGAGGGCACTGTTTTCTCCAGAACCATCCTAGCGTCTGGAACCTTCCCTCCCCAGTCCTATGTTTATGGTGCCCTCAGGACAGACTGGCTGCAGAACAAGGGCAGGAAGGAGACAGAATTCTGGGGAGGAGGGATGAGCAGGGAGGATCACCTGCAAAGCTGTGGCGAAAAGCCCGAAAGCTCAGTCAGAAGCCTGGAGGGCCGGAGGGAGCTCGAAAGGGCTGTTTGCAAGCTGATTGCCCTGCCAGAGTGCTGCCAGCGCTCGGCCTTGGCTGGTGATGAGATGGAACCAGCTGTATTCACAAGAGCCACGCTCACTGCGGCGTCTCGCTCACCTGAGATGAATTTCTGAGGTGGATGGAGCCCACCAGCTGACAGCCTCGAAGAACGGATTTCCAGAAATACTTGGCTGGAAGGTTCAAAGCCACCTTTAATCACCCCAGGCCGCAGAGGTTTTTCAGACAGTTTTGCTTCCACCCCGTGAACACAACGGGCCCAGGAGGGATTATCAGGACCCCAGATCTATGGGGTCACCCTGGGGAGATGTGAATCATCTTGGGATGCCAGTGTGCTCATCCACCTTCCAAGAATTCCCTGGGGCTTTTGTCCCGGGTGTGGCCAACTGCTTTAATGAAGGCCCCTCACAAGAGGATCGAATCTGCCCAGCTCGTCTTAGAAGAAAAGCCTCTGCCTAGAGCAGCCGCTGTGTTTAGCTTTGTAGAGGCGCGTGCGGGTCTGGATTCCAAGCAGAGGAGACACCCGGCCGCAGCTGGGCTTGGAGGGCAGACACAGAGATGGCCACCCCCTGGGGGACTTCAGGCCCTTCCTTTCACTCGCCTGTGCCTTTCGTACATGAAGGAAGCAAAACGCTAAAGACCAATTAGAACATTTCTGCGTTTCCTTTGCAAGTCTCCGACACTTGCAGGCGGCAGGCTCAAGTCCGCAGGCTCAAGTCCGCAGGCTTGTCATCCGAACCCTCAGCTCGTTGCTGTTCAGTGAGGGAGCCAACAGCATCCAGCCTCATTCAGCTCTGGTTTCCTTTGCAGGGGAGCCCAGAGTAGGCGCTGGGCGATAGGCCAGCCACACCCCTTTTCCGAGAGCCCTCTACTGACCCATCCATCATCTGACCTGAGCCACTTTCCAGGGATTCTGGTCACTTTCCTGAAACAATGATTGAAGTCAATTTGCAGAGCAAGAGTTTTAATGAGCTAAGGGTGGGCTAACCCCATAGATTTTGCAAGCTGTAGCTTCTATTCAATTTAATTACCTCCCTCTGTGGATTTAAAATCAGTTAGAGCTTCAGACAAAGGGGAATTCATCACATTCTGCATGGTAGGTATATGCCTACAGACCAGGGTATGCTAAAATAGGCAGCATCCATCAAAATTGACATATCCATGGTGACGCTGTCAAACCAAGGCTTCCAACAGTGATACCTGGTAAGACACAAAACACTCATGAATGCTAATGCTTTGTCGCTGCTCTGCGAGCCTGTGGAGGGGG